TTACTATTATAACATTTTCCACTCCCCCTTTTCTGCCAAGCGCCATCAAACGAGACGGAAAGTAACTGTTCAATGTCCACATCATTGTCAGTAGAGTTTTCTATGGTACATGTACTTGTACATGGCTGTATATCTGAAGGAAGGTTTATCTCTTCTGTTGACGTTCTATAATTGAAATACATAAATAACGAGATTTTTATCACTGAACATACATGTTCAATTTTGTATAATATGATATAAAGAAAACGGATATTCAATCGGGTACGGATCTTTACGATTTACATTTTGAGATGTAGCTACATGTAAATTTCTATACATTTTAAATCTGCTTATAAAATCCCCTTGTCTAGCATTGTTATTACACACATATATATATACATGATCAAAATTGAAAATGGAAATGGGGAATGTGTCAAAGAGACAACGACTCGACCAAAGCAGAAAACAGCCGAAGGCAACTAATGGGCCTTCAACACGGAGAGAAAATCCAGCACCCGGAGGCGGGATACAGCCGGCCCATTAACATACATTGTGTATTAGTTCAGTGAATGATTACCTGGTTATTTGTATTTCCTCATCGATTCCTTGTTTACAAGTGTCAGCAGCCTTTTTCTCTATCGTCGATCCTATTTCTCGCTCTCGTTTTTTTAGTGCTTTTACAGTTATTGAAGGGACATTCATGGTTGAGAAGAAATATCCAACTTGTTCGGGTCCTATACCAGTATGTATCATTGCTGGAAACAAATAATAAATATTATAGAATATATGACAAAAACAATAGACCACATGTACTTACATTTACTGGCAATCACCACCCGGTAAGCTGAGTTCACGTCGTTTAGGTTAGCCGGTTTTCATTATCACTTGTTGCGGTTATAAAAAGTGTCAACAGACAGTTTCTTTTAAAAAAAATATTAATTTTGATTCTAAAAAAGGAAATTTTAATACAATTAAAACATCAGTATAAAACGGAGAAGTAAATAATTTGTTTCTATTTTTACTTCACTGAGTTCATGCATGGACGAAATGAAGGAAATATATATGACAAAAAAGTATCTACATGTATGACTGTGAGTATCTTGGAAATTTTTTTTTGTTTGACTTACCTAGAGCACTTTTGGTATTAATATCCCATATTCCAAATCCTTTGTTTTCTTTATTTTCATCTCTGTGTTGTTTTCCCGTGTAAACACAATTGACGGTTTTACACTGCTGGCATTTTATCTTCAATACGCTACCGAATCCGTATCGTACTTCTGCAAGACAGTCTGACAGGTTGAGTGTTGACTTTTTACATTTTTTACAACAAGACAACTGTTCCGCTAAATACCCAAGCTCTACAATTCTTCTGCCCTCATTCCACAAAATAAAGTCTGAATCAGTTTGTGTTTCAAAAGTACTGGTTTTTACTGGTATGTCATCTTCTACTTTTCTTTTTTTCCAAGTGAACTTGCCCTTTTTAGAATGCATGCGCCGCTTTTCCGCCATGTTCAAATGCAGGACTGAAACGTCTAACGGGATTTGTAGTGTACGTCACAATATAAAAAGCACACACATTCCCGCAAATTTGCAGTATCGGATTTTATTATACACGGTATTGATATGAGATAAATATTGAGAACATTTTACACGATCATGTAATACAAATAGATATAGAAAGATGTTGTATGAGTGCCGATGAGACAACTCTCCATCCAAGTCACAATTTATAAAAGTAAACCATTATAGGCCAATGTATGGTCTTCAACACGGAGCCTAGGCTCACACCGAACAGCAAGCTATAAAGGGTCCAAAAAAATACTAGTGTAAAACCATTCAAACAGGAAAACCAACGGTCTAATCTATATAAAAAAAAGACTATTTATAAGTATTTTCTATGTTTTTGTTTAAACTTTCACATATGTGTGATTTTTGCTATTGTTCTCGTTTTTGTTATTTTCATTTCGATCGCATACATGTAGATTATTAGAATTGTGAATATGATACATTGTACGTATAGTAAGCAACGCTAAAATGAAGATATTTTTAATATGCAGATATCTAAATTTGTAAATTTGAAATAAAAAACATTTATCTTTCAACTGTTTTATACCAGACTAAGGCAAATTGTTTGTTTAACTCGTTCTAAGTTATAACAAAACATCAGGTTTTACGTTTGTCGTCAATTTCATGTTTGTCCGACAACAGCAGGAACGATAACTCGTGACGTAACGTCATTCGGTATCGTGTTACCTTAATATGTATGACGTCACGTCATCGATTACAGTCACTGTTGCTAAGGCTTTATCAAACCCATAATCTGTATGACGTCATGTCAAACCTATAATCTGTATGACGTCATTTCAAACCTCCTTACCTATATGACGTCATGTCACATAAAAAAAACATCTACGTGAGGTATATGTATATAATAAAGTGTATATGATATGGCTTTTTCAATATCACACACCGTATCAACCCTCAACCAATATAATCCCTCGAGCAGAGCTCTTGGGATTATATTGGTGTCTCGGGTTGATACGGATGTGATATTGAAAAAGCCATATGATATTCTCTATATATTTGAACGTTCTAAACAGACTGAATATATTATTATTTGCCCCAAACTGTTTTGCAATACACAGTAGACAGATATAGCGACTAAACAATGCTATTTTTTTGTTATTTGACCGTTTTCCTAATCAGTCTAAAAAATTTAGCCTGTAATTTTTATATCATATGTCGGTACTCTTTTCCCGGAAATATGTTATGAAGGGAAAAGGGTCAGTAACCATGGTAACTGCGATCCTTTCAGAACTCTTCCCTTTCTTTTCAAAATAACATGTTTGTATACATGTATTTATATATATATATATATCTATTTCGTATATTCTGTGCAAACTGCTCAAATTTTTTATTTTAAATGCTTTTCCGTTTTAAAGTCGTGTGGCCAATATGATTCCAATAAACAAAACATTTCACTTTCAAGTCATATATAATGCGACGATGTGTATACCTGTATCTAAAAAAGATTAACAATGTTTTATATTTTTTTTAGATTGTACCTTTATCGAAATTTATTTGAAAAATTTCGCTTACAATTTTACTGAATATGTCGCTACCCTTATCCCGGAAATATGTAAAAAGATAAAATATGTATATGCTCCTTTTGTTTCTTTTTTTTTTTTTTTTTGCTCTGTGTTCAAGGCCTCACTGACTTTGAGATTATGAAAAAAAATTCCTATTCCTTTGCATTTTTTTTTTTTTTGGCTGCGCACATGCTGATTTGTGTCTTTGATAGATACCCCATATATCCGTTACTTTCTATTATAGCAGAAAATTAGGGTAGTAGCTGCGATGCCTAAGTTGTGTCCCCTTTTCTTTTAATCACATTCTTTGCAAAGTGCTCACATCATACATTTTTGAATATTTGTACGTTCTAAACGGACATTCGAACAGACAGAATATATAATCATTTACTCCAAGCTGTGTTTGCAATACACAGTAAACAGAAATAGCGAATAAACAGTGCTATTCTTTTTTTAATTTGACCGTTTTCCATATCAGTCTCATAATTTTAGCCTGTAATTTTTTATCATATGTCGGTACTCTTATCCCAGAAATATGTTATGAAGGGAAAATATGTATTAATGCTCCTTTTTTATTTTTTGTTATGGCAGTCCAAATTCCAAACCATTCATTCCAGTCGACATACCATGCAATACGTGCCTACTGTATTGTTTATAGTTTCTCTCCTGAATATTCATAACAAATTGCAATTGGACTTTACTTGACTCAAGCTAGCGAACAATTGTAGCGAACAATTAGCTAGCGAACAATTAGGAGGTATAACTAAAAACCACAATATCACATAAGGTTATCACGTTTTTTTCGAGCTAGCGAACAATTATGAGAATACATACAATCTTAAACAAAAACGAAAAAAATAACTTAAAACAAAAGGGAAACCATACTTCATATATAAAGAATGCAAAGCTTTTCTTTCCTAACTAAATAAATTCACATAAGGCATTCAATAGACAGCTGGATTACAATCGGTGGTTTTCTCCGGGCACTCCGGCTTCCTCCACCAATAAAAAAAGACCGCCACGAAATAGCCCAAAAGCGGTGCTTAAAAGTGGCGTTAAAACACCAAAAATCAATCCAAATCAATGGATTACAATGACCATAAGTTAACACATTGACACAATGCATTTTTAGGGAATGGGGGTGCACTTTACGTTGTTTGGTCCGATTAATAGAGATTGTGACAGGTTACGACTATATAGGTGTTTAAGAGGAGATAGTGCCGCATCGTTCAGGAAAACCTCCAGAGTGTTTTTTGTTCGAAAATCTTAAATTGTGGTAGAAAAAAACTGAAATTAACAAAATGAAATTAGGGTATAGGACATTTTAAGTTATTTTTTGACCAATTTGAATAGATTGTTACAGGCAACGACTATATAGGTGTTTTAGAGGAGACATTGCCGCATCGTTTAGGAAAATCTCCAGTGTGGTTTATGTTCGAAAATCTGAAGTTACGGTAAAAAAAACTGAAATTTACAAAATGAGACTAGGGGGGGTAGGGCACTTAAAGTTAATGTTGAACCAATTTATATAGATTGTGACGGGCAACGACTATATAGTTGTTGTAGAGGAGACATTGGCGCATCGTGTAGAAAAAAAATCAAGATCACTTTATGTTCGAAAATCTGAAGTTAGGGTTAAAAACCTGAAATTTACAAAATGAGATTTGGGGGTTGGGCACTCAAAGTTCATTTTGGACCAATTTATAGAGATTGTGACGGGCAACGACTATGTAGGTGTTGTAGAGGAGACATTGGCGCATCGTTTAAGATAATCTCTAGAGTGGTTTATGTTCGAAAATCTGAAGTTACGGTTAAAAAACTAAAATTGTGAAATTGACAAAATGAGATTTGGGGGGTAGGCAAATTTAAGTTAATTTTGAACTAATTTCAAGAGATTGTGACGGGCAACGACTATAAAGGTGTTGTAGAAGAGACATTGGCGCATCGTTTAGGAAAATCTCCAGAGTGGTTTATGCTCGAAAATCTGAAGTTACGGTTAAAAAACTGAAAATTTTATTGTGAAATTGACAAAATGAGATTAGGGGGGTAGGGCACTAAAAGAAAAATTTTGACCATTTTAAAGAGATTGTGACGGGCAACGACTATATAGGTGTTGTAGAAGAGACATTGGCGCATCGTTTAAGAAAATCTCCAGAGTGGTTTATGTTCGAAAATCTGAAGTTACGGTTAAAAAACTGAAAATTTTATTGTGAAATTTACAAAATGAGATTAGGGGGGTAGGGCACTAAAAGAAAAATTTGGACCATTTTAAAGAGATTGTGACGGGCAACGACTATATAGGTGTTGTAGAGGAGACATTGGCGCATCGTTTAAGAAAATCTCCAGAGTGGTTTATGTTCGAAATTCTGAAGTTACGGTTAAAAAACTGAAAATTTTATTGTGAAATTTACAAAATGAGATTAGGGGGGTAGGGCACTAAAAGAAAAATTTGGACCATTTTAAAGAGATTGTGACGGGCAACGACTATATAGGTGTTGTAGAGGAGACATTGGCGCATCGTTTAAGAAAATCTCCAGAGTGGTTTATGTTCGAAAATCTGAAGTTACGGTTAAAAAAATGAAATTGTGAAATTGACAAAATGAGATTAGGGGGGTAGTGCAATTTAAGTTAATTTTGGACCATTTTAAAGAGATTGTGACGGGCAACGACTATATAGGTGTTGTGGAAGAGACATTGGCGCATCGTTTAAGAAAATCTCCAGAGTGGTTTATGTTCGAAAATCTGAAGTTACGGTTAAAAAACTGAAAATTTTATTGTGAAAATGACAAAATGAGATTAGGGGGGTAGGGCACTAAAAGAAAAATTTGGACCATTTTAAAGAGATTGTGACGGGCAACGACTATATAGGTGTTGTAGAGGAGACATTGGCGCATCGTTTAAGAAAATCTCCAGAGTAGTTTATGTTCGAAAATCAGAAGTTTCGGTTAAAAAACTGAAAATTTTATTGTGAAATTGACCAAATGAGATTTGGGGGGTAGGGCACTAAAAGAAAAATTTGGACCATTTTAAAGAGATTGTGACGGGCAACGACTATATAGGTGTTGTAGAGGAGACATTGGCGCATCCTTTAAGAAAATCTCCAGAGTGGTTTATGTTCGAAAATCTGAAGTTACGGTTAAAAAACTGAAATTGTGAAATTGACAAAATGAGATTAGGGGGGTAGGCCAATTTAAGTTAATTTTGGACCAATTTCAAGAGATTGTGACGGGCAACGACTATATAGGTGTTGTAAAAGAGACAATGGCGCATCGTTTAAGAAAATCTCCAGAGTGGTTTATGTTCGAAAATCTGAAGTTACGGTTAAAAAACTGAAAATTTTATTGTGAAATTGATAAAATGAGATTAGGGGGGTACGGCACTAAAAGAAAAATTTGGACCATTTTAAAGAGATTGTGACGGGCAACGACTATATAGGTGTTGTAGAGGAGACATTGGCGCATCCTTTAAGAAAATCTCCAGAGTGGTTTATGTTCGAAAATCTGAAGTTACGGTTAAAAAACTGAAAATTTTATTGTGAAATTGACAAAATGAGATTAGGGGGGTAGGGCAATTTAAGTTAATTTTGGACCATTTTAAAGAGATTGTGACGGGCAACGACTATATAGGTGTTGTGGAAGAGACATTGGCGCATCGTTTAAGAAAATCTCCAGAGTGGTTTATGTTCGAAAATCTGAAGTTACGGTTAAAAAACTGAAAATTTTATTGTGAAATTGACAAAATGAGATTAGGGGGGTAGGGCAATTTAAGTTAATTTTGGACCATTTTAAAGAGATTGTGACAGGCAACGACTATATAGGTGTTGTGGAAGAGACATTGGCGCATCGTTTAAGAAAATCTCCAGAGTGGTTTATGTTCGAAAATCTGAAGTTGCGGTTAAAAAAATGAAATTGTGAAATTGACAAAATGAAATTAGGGGGGTAGGGCAATTTAAGTTAATTTTGGACCATTTTAAAGAGATTGTGACGGGCAACGACTATAAAGGTGTTGTGGAAGAGACATTGGCGCATCGTTTAAGAAAATCTCCAGAGTGGTTTATGTTCGAAAATCTGAAGTTACAGTTAAAAAACTGAAAATTTTATTGAGAAAATGACAAAATGAGATTAGGGGGGTAGGGCACTAAAAGAAAAATTTGGACCATTTTAAAGAGATTGTGACGGGCAACAACTATATAGGTGTTGTAGAGGAGACATTGGCGCATCGTTTAAGAAACTCTCCAGAGTGGTTTATGTTCGAAAATCTGAAGTTACGGTTAAAAAAATGAAATTGTGAAATTGACAAAATGAGATTAGGGGGGTAGTGCAATTTAAGTTAATTTTGGACCATTTTAAAGAGATTGTGACGGGCAACGACTATATAGGTGTTGTGGAAGAGACATTGGCGCATCGTTTAAGAAAATCTCCAGAGTGGTTTATGTTCGAAAATCTGAAGTTACGGTTAAAAAACTGAAAATTTTATTGTGAAAATGACAAAATGAGATTAGGGGGGTAGGGCACTAAATGAAAAATTTGGACCATTTTAAAGAGATTGTGACGGGCAACGACTATATAGGTGTTGTAGAGGAGACATTGGCGCATCGTTTAAGAAAATCTCCAGAGTAGTTTATGTTCGAAAATCAGAACTTTCGGTTAAAAAACTGAAAATTTTATTGTGAAATTGACAAAATGAGATTTGGGGGGTAGGGCACTAAAAGAAAAATTTGGACCATTTTAAAGAGATTGTGACGGGCAACGACTATATAGGTGTTGTAGAAGAGACATTGGCGCATCGTTTAAGAAAATCTCCAGAGTGGTTTATGTTCGAAAATCTGAAGTTACGGTTAAAAAACTGAAATTGTGAAATTGACAAAATGAGATTAGGGGGGTAGGCCAATTTGAGTTAATTTTGGACCAATTTCAAGAGATTGTGACGGGCAACGACTATATAGGTGTTGTAAAGGAGACAATGGCGCATCGTTTAAGAAAATCTCCAGAGTGGTTTATGTTCGAAAATCTGAAGTTACGGTTAAAAAACTGAAAATTTTATTGTGAAATTGATAAAATGAGATTAGGGGGGTACGGCACTAAAAGAAAAATTTGGACCATTTTAAAGAGATTGTGACGGGCAACGACTATATAGGTGTTGTAGAGGAGACATTGGCGCATCCTTTAAGAAAATCTCCAGAGTGGTTTATGTTCGAAAATCTGAAGTTACGGTTAAAAAACTGAAAATTTTATTGTGAAATTGACAAAATGAGATTAGGGGGGTAGGGCAATTTAAGTTAATTTTGGACCATTTTAAAGAGATTGTGACGGGCAACGACTATATAGGTGTTGTGGAAGAGACATTGGCGCATCGTTTAAGAAAATCTCCAGAGTGGTTTATGTTCGAAAATCTGAAGTTACGGTTAAAAAACTGAAAATTTTATTGTGAAATTGACAAAATGAGATTAGGGGGGTAGGGCACTAAAAGAAAAATTTGGACCATTTTAAAGAGATTGTGACGGGCAACGACTATATAGGTGTTGTAGAAGAGACATTGGCGCATCGTTTAAGAAAATCTCCAGAGTGGTTTATGTTCGAAAATCTGAAGTTACGGTTAAAAAACTGAAAATTTATTGTGAAATTGACAAAATGAGATTAGGGGGGTAGGGCACTAAAAGAAAAATTTGGACCATTTTAAAGAGATTGTGACGGGCAACGACTATATAGGTGTTGTAGAAGAGACATTGGCGCATCGTTTAAGAAAATCTCCAGAGTGGTTTATGTTCGAAAATCAGAAGTTGCGGTTAAAAAACTGAAAATTTTATTGTGAAATTGACAAAATGAGATTAGGGGGGTAGGGCACTAAAAGAAAAATTTGGACCATTTTAAAGAGATTGTGACGGGCAACGACTATATAGGTGTTGTAGAGGAGACATTGGTGCATCGTTTAAGAAAATCTCCAGAGTGGTTTATGTTCGAAAATCTGAAGTTACGGTTAAAAAACTGAAAATTTTATTGTGAAATTGACAAAATGAGATTAGGGGGGTAGGGCACTAAAAGAAAAATGTTGACCATTTTAAAGAGATTGTGACGGGCAACGACTATATAGGTGTTGTAGAAGAGACATTGGCGCATCGTTTAAGAAAATCTCCAGAGTGGTTTATGTTCGAAAATCTGAAGTTGCGGTTAAAAAACTGAAAATTTTATTGTGAAATTGACAAAATGAGATTAGGGGGGTAGGGCACTAAAAGAAAAATTTGGACCATTTTAAAGAGAGAGATTGTGACGGGGAACGACTATATAGGTGTTGTAGAGGAGACATTGGCGCATCGGGTGAACGTATATTTATCTCCGAGCTTCGTTGAGTATAATAGGGTAATAGCTAAACTTCTGATAAATTTTGTCAAATTATTTGACTGAGAAAATTTCAATTTGTTTTTTTTACAAATAATGGAAAATATGAGAGAACAGTAATACAAAAACGAAGTTTAAAACACAACTTTGATTTGAATTTAAAATTTTAATTGGTGTTTACATCAATGTTTATCTTATTATCTGTCCGAACTCGGCATCTGTAAAATTCATAAATTTTATGGGGACGATAACGCAAGTTTATGGCAAGAGTTGATGAGGATTTCTTTTTGTCGAGTAGCAAGTATCGAGTTATAAAAAGTGAGTATCGAGTTACAAAAAGTGAGTATCGAGTTATAAAAAGTGAGTATCGAGTTTTAAAAGTGAGTATCGAGTTATAAAAAGTGAGTATCGAGTTACAAAAAGTGAGTATCGAGTAGCAAAAAGTGAGTATCGAGTTATAAAAAGTCAGTATCGAGTTATAAAAAGTGAGTATCGAGTTATAAAAGTGAGTATCGAGTTATAAAAAGTGAGTACCGAGTTACAAAAAGTGAGTATCGAGTAGCAAAAAGTGAGTATCGAGTTATAAAAAGTGAGTATCGAGTAGTAAAAAGTGAGTATCGAGTAGCAAAATTAATAACCAACAAAATCATTATTTATAAATATAATTGTTTTAACAAAAAAATATCCAATTTATTAATCGAGTCATACTGTACAATTTACAACATAGAAAGGGGTGCAGGTTTGATACTGTCGCATTGCTTGCTTCACGCCTACTGGTCAACTGTGATTTTCTCATCCTCTGAATGAATATTAAGTGATACCTTTGGTTCCATTGCATTTCTGTGATGTAGTTGATTTAAACAAGACTTAGAAGTATGTAGATAAGGAATTAAACTGAGTTGATATATATTTGATAATTAATTAATATGGGTATAGACAAATGTCTGTGATATGACTTTTTCGGCATCTTCCTTGAAATAGCAACTGTCCTATTATTCTGAATCCCATATACAGTCAAACCTGTATTAAGGGGACCACTAAAAGGAGAAGGCAAAAGTGGTCTCTTAATACAAGTGGTCTTTGAATACAGGTTCACCAATTTGAATAGAAGGAATCATGTATATCCATTATAACTTGTGATCGTACAAGTGTAAGTAAACAATACTGTTTTGGTCTCATTATACATGTATATTTGCTATGACTAATTATTGGAACTGTTCATTAAATATGATATTAAATTTAATCCTTTCCTTTTGTATTTTCCTTAAATTTTGTAAACACATAACAAGACATGGTGTTTGTTATATTATCATGATAATGTCCAATCTAATTCCTGTAAAAATACCCCAGGGTGCAGAGCTTTCAGAATGTTCTTCAAAATTTTGTATAAATTGCCTCACCATGTAAATCAGGCAGCACTGCCGCAGCAGTAATGTTTACCAGCTTAAGAAAGTACTCCATTACAGATTTAAGACCTTCAAATACTTTTTATTAAATCAAAAGATATAATTTGATCGCTTGTTTCTTGTAACTGTAGGAGCGGGGTTACCCATATTTTCATATTGTGGTGTTACTCCTATAAGAAAATCAAATACGGGGGAAATGTCTTATGGTCCACTAGCTCACAAGAATAAAAGTTCCTCCAAAATATAACAATAATTGTTTATTAAACAGGCATCCATAATTCAATATAATATAGTTCATATGATACAGATTAAAAACAGATTATAAGATGTTCATATGGCAAATGTCATTCTAAAACTGACTTAAAACTATAAGACCTAGCTTTATAATTAATTGCACTGACCCTTTAGCCTATTACTTATTATTCTAAATTTATCTTTAGTATCAAACCTTTGACCTTATAATTACCAAATGGAAATGCTGAATTTGACAAAACGTATTTATATAAGAATTCTTAATGTCTTGAGTAGTGGTCAATAACATGTGAAATAAACAATTAATTGTAATTAATTACTTTTCTGAACTACTGCTACTAAAATCAACATCTGTTGTTTACTACTAAATTAGTAATAGTTATAAAAAGTGAGTATCGAGTTGCAAAAAGCGAGTATCGAGTAATAAAGTGTGAGTATCAAGTAACGAAAAAGTGAGTATCGAGTAGCAAAAAGTGAGTATCGAGTTATAAAAAGTGAGTATCGAGCTATAAAAAGTGAGTACCGAGTTATAAAAAGTGAGTATCGAGTTACAAAAAGTGAGTATCGAGTAGCAAAATAATATTAACCATCGTTAAGGTAACTAGTTTTTGGCAATATGGTGTATCGAAGTAAAACCAAGGAAAAAAATTAACGGACAAATCACTTTTTAGTATTTGTTAATATGAAAATCATATAAGAATTATAAGTGAATATTTCAAGAGAATCTTGTCCTCAGTTCTGTAGCCTAAAAATACTAAACTTGAAGTGAAAATAAACTATACGTCCAAAAAAAATCCTCCTACCTCCTCCCCATTGAAAATAAAATGGTCCTCCACTTAAACTTATTATTTTCAAAAATCAAAAATTTAAAAGGGAATTGTTAACTGGAAAAAGCATACCATTTCAAATTGAAACAAGAGGGTCATAGGAATCTGAAATCAGCCTTCCTGGTTTTATTGCTAATTTATCAAAAACAAGAAGAGCAAATTACACACAATTTCATATTTCATAGGGTTTCTATATGTAAACTTTTACCTCGTCGGTGGCCATTTGAATTTCCAATTGACATCAAAGTTAAATATCTTATTTAAAACCTTGATAGGAACATATATGGTATGTTTGGGTTACATCTATACTAATGCTAAATTGACCCATGTTGCCCTTTGAGGTCTTATATGTAGGACCCGCTAACAAGACTGAAACACTGATACTTCATGGGCACCTTCTTATGGTCATTTCTTCATTATTTGTTTGCACCTTACATCATTAGAAATAAAAAAAATAAAGCAAAATATGATTTTCCATAGTGTTTCTTTGTAAGCTTTGACTTTCCGTGGAGGACAACTCAATTTTCAATTTCCCATCAGAACCAAAGAAACTAAACTTGTTCAAGACTTTAATAGGAACATTCCTTTTCTTCAGAAGAATTTTTCAAAGGTAGCATCATGCCATGCAATCACCATTAAGTGCCAAATCACCTAAGAATCAGGCAGTGGTGAAAAGACACAACAAAGAGAATCCCTCTCAACTTTACTTAATTTAAATTTAGAATGTATAATGGTGCACAAATATATCATTCAGTTCCTTTTCCTGTTCTAGTATAAATAGATATAATCAAGTTAAAATGCACTGGAAATTAATAATTAAGGGGAACTAACTCCGAAATTTGCTATCATTCTAACCAAAAGTTATTAACAGACACGCAGAAAGACCAACCATTTCTAACTCAGGATGAGAGTAACTTCAAAATAGGATGGTTAGATTGGCGTTTTTTTTCAGCCATGTTGTGAAATTGCCTTGTTCTTACAAAGCCTGGTACTTAACAATCAACCCATGTTTGTTGACCAATCAACAACAAAGTATCAACACTTAGAAAGGACAATTAGAGAAACATATTCGAAAAATTTGGTAAAATTCTGTTTAGTGGTTCTCTAGAAAAAGATCAAAATATGAAAAATTAACAAACAACGGACTACAAATGAGGACAACAGAAGCTAAGTGTTGGCAAAGCCAATAGCTCACAGCAGCCTTTGGCTAGGGTGAGCTAAACAGTGAAAATATTTCCTCTTACAGTTAAGGGACACTTATTACGTGTAGTCTATACATTTAAGAATATATTTTCTGTTTTGAATTTTCTTTGGAATAAGGTAATTTTGTTATTCTGCCAGTATCAAACCTGCACCCCTCTCTATGTTGTAAATTATACAGTATGATTCGATTAATAAATTGGATATAATTTGTTAAAACAATTCTATTTACAAATAATGTTTTTGTTGGTTATTAATTTATATACTCGATACTCACTTTTTACTACTCGATACTCACTTTTTGTTACTCGATACTCACTTTTTGCTACTCGATACTAACTTTTTATAACTCGATACTCACGTTTTGTAACTTGATACTCATTTTTTGTTACTCGATACTCACTTTTAGCTACTCGATACTCACTTTTTGTTACTCGATACTCACTTTTGACAACTCGATACTCACTTTTTGCTACTCGATACTCGCTTTTTATAACTCGATACTTACGTTTTGCTACTTGATACTCACTTTTTGTTACTCGATACTCACTTTTTGCTACTCGATACTCACTTTTTGTTACTCGATACTCACTTTTGACAACTTGATTCTCACTTTTTGCTACTCGATACTCACTTTTGACAACTCGATACTCACTTTTTACAACTCGATACTTGCTACTCTACTAAAAGTAAATCTCAGAGTTGATAGATGTTCGTCTGTGGTAGCTAATAACGGTTTATTATCTTTCTCATGAACTAGGATGCACGTGTTCCAATTTTAGTGTTTGTCAACTTTTAACTTAATCAGTTGTTTCTGGATTTTATAAGTATTAGCTGTGCAATATCGAACTTATATTTTTTTAGAAAATAAATACTTTTACATTCACTCGCGTGTGAAATAATTCTAGTGAATATGTTACGGCGCTGAAAAACTGTCACTACGTCCACAGTACTTTCATAGTCATTTTTTTTTCTAGTGTACAAAGTTTGACGTGCGGTATTGTTTGAATATTTGAACAGTGTGAATTACATTGTCATAGTATAGACATGCTTGCAAAACAAAACTGAGCTCGACTGAAAGTGCTTATGTGAAAAGTTGCTTATAATACGGGCCTCAGTCAGTGTAGCCCAAGATGTCGAAGAATCAAGATTTCCGACTTTTCAGGGTAAGCCACAATATAAAGTTTTTAATTAAAAATAAGGAGATGTGGTTATCATTTCCAATGAGACAACTACCCAACAGAGTCCGAATAACGCTTATTTCAGCAATTAAATGTCACCGCACGGCCTTTAACAATAGCAAAACCCATACCATATACTCGCTTATAATCGGCCTTGAAATGACAAAATGTGTGACAATACAAACGAAAAAACTAAGGGCTTTATTTATAACAAGACAGATGTAACAACCAGCAACCAACGACAACCACAGAATAA